AGTACTTACGTACTTCGACATTTGCTAGGCAACTTGAGAAACAGTGGATATGATCCTTACTACAGAAACATACAATAATAGAAAGATAGAAATAAAATAGAAAGAAATAGAAACTATTATGGGAATAGTTGCTATAGATATTGCGTAATAACAATGCAACGGTTTACCGCCTCATCGTGGCTGAGAAGTGTTCCTGGGTATCGGATTGTGAAGTGCAGCGGTGGAATTCATACGTCCCACCAGCAGCTTCTCTCAAGTTGAGGAGTCCGGCGTTTCCATCAGGAAGTCTAGCTAAGAGTAAACCAATACCAATACCAGGCCCCACCACCGTCCTGGTACCAAAGTCGCATGGTAGCAAATCTCCCTCTGATCCACAAGGGCTGCGACTGCTTGTGGCGGTAATGACCTGGGACAGACTTTGGCTAGGTTGACCTCTACACCCCGGGTAACCACAATGGCTAAACTACCAAAACTCCGAAAAAATGGAAATTATGCTGGGGTTCGTATAACCAGTGAGGACGGGCCACCCACGTATCCAGGTATGGTGACACCCTCATATTTAGTCAAAGAAAACAGAGAACAAAAATCAATATTTCTTGGAATATGCTTCCGAAGAACTATAAAATATTCTCTAAACTATGGGTAATAATCATTATCTACCAACCGTTTCGTTCAATCCCTATATTGATTGTAAAGTGCCATCGTTTCTTCTCAGGCATTGCGAAAGAGTATTGCTTGTACCACTTAAATGTGTAAAGCCGCGGTTATAGCTATCACTGATATGTCTTTAGCTGTTTTGCATCTCTGCCAACTTGTATCCGCGTGGGCATCCAATGGCCATTTGCTATATCGACTCCATTATTCTTTGGAACTGTTCATCCTGTCATAGAATACAGGTGCGTCAAGCATTACGAAATAGTATGTAGGAATCGGAAATCATTTGCAACCCTATTTACTCTCTTTTCATTTATCGCCCCACTTTGTTTCAAGTCCTCTTGAATCAGCTATAATTGCATAATGTGTCACTTGTCCCTCATCTCACTAAACGAATTCCTTTTCGAATCTAATAAAGGAATCATCCTTTATTAGCCAATTGCTTACACGTACATATGTGAACGTTTAATCAGTCAAGTTTGAGGTCTGCCGCAGCGGCATCACGACTACAAGAGTTACGCAGAATAACACTTTTCAAGACAACATCACCGCCATCCTATAGAGCCTATTTTCAAAAAATCAATTTCATTGTTAAAATCAAGCCGCCAATATCATAGAGCCAACTATAACAGCGGTAATTATAACAAAGCCATGGTTTAACTATTGGCAAAAAGGCAAAACTCGAAAAAAAAGTGGAGATCACGCTGAGGGCCGCACAACCAGTGAGAATGGGTCACCCAAGTATCTAAGTCAGTAACGATAACATAGCGAATGGTGAATAATTAATGAGGTGATGTGGCACTGATATATAGATGTCTAAAATTACTTGAACCCCCCGTTTTCCTGAGTTGTCGCCGGCCATCTATGTTCTGTAAAATAATTGTACTGCGGGTACAGTCGATTGACTATGGTTAGGAATACGTCCACCAAACGTGTAAGTGATCCTCCTAAGAAAATCCTGGCGGAGTCCAGTTTACAGTTCTTTTCGTTCACCTGTCGTCTGTTCTTCTCACTACATGAGCACATTACCCCTATGTTCCACATCGGTGTGTGCTCTCCTGGATCTCGAAGATGAGACAGATTTCGAAGAACTACACGTTCCGGCTAGATGTTTTCCTGACGGCTAGAGTTTAAAATACATTCTACAAACGCTATGTGAGTAGTGCGCAGTACATTTGACTGGTTGAAGCACTGGCTTACGTCTCTGTTACAAAACAAAGTGCAGGGAGGACTGTTAAATCGAAAAGGTGAGCGCAGATTTTCGTGTCCCATTTGGTCGGTGGCATCTTTGAGTGGCCCCAATGCGGACCAGGGTGCTCTCTTCCTTGTATTCGGTTCTTTCTTCATTTTGTCCCCATGTTCATTGAACGTTCAAGGCGTACAAGGTGGTCTACGCAGTCATAAACCCATCCAATTCAATTGTTTCGCTTTCGCACCATGGGTTCTTCATGAACTGGATCATCTTCCAATTCATGCGTAGTCTGAGCCTTTTTTCCGTTCCGTTCAGCTCGTTGATCATCGTCTCTACTTCGCTGGCACTTTTTGAAAAGATGACTATGCCGTTCGCGAAACGAAGATTTGATAGGAACTTTTCATCAGTACACATGCCCTTCTCGCCCCGATCGAGTGACTTCATTGTCCACTGCATCGCGGCACTAAACAGCTTTGGCGATGTGTCGCCTTGTCCAACCTTTTTTCCTATAGGTATGGTAAGAGATCGACGTAAAAGCTGTATTTTCGTAGTGCAGCACCGACAACAGTCAGACAGAGTTCTTATGTAGGATGGGTCCACTCCTTGGTCGACGAGCGTTGATAGGATTCGTTTTTTGCATTCGTTTCGACACTGTCAAACGTTTTATCATAGTCGACAAAAGTTAGGACTAGAGGCAAGTGTATTCCTGACACACTTTGATGACTCTGGAAACAGTTTGGATGTGGTCCATGCAGCAAAATCCTTTTCGAAATCCTGTTTGCTCGAATGGATGCGCGTCATCCAATGTCCCTGATATGCGCGAGAGGATAATCTTCGTGAAGAGCTTGTAGAGTGCACTCAGCAAGCATATGACGCGATAGTTACGTAGACCCCTTCGCCCTGCTTTCTTGGCCAGGATAACCGTGCGCGACGTCCTCCACTGGTCTGGGATTTTTTCCTTTTGAAGGTAGCCTGTCATATGATCTGCGAGAAGTACATTTAAGTTCCAGCTTTGAGAAAGTCGGCCATGATATTATTTGGACACAGGGATTTGCCCTTTTCCATGGTTTCTACTGCAACTTGAATCTGAGGGAACATATCCAGATGGTTTTCTCTAGCGGGAATTATAGGGTGTGGAAAGGGACTGCGGAGTGGAAAAGGTTGACGTGGAACTTTCCTGTTATTGATTCCATATCATGGCAGGATGTTTTAGTGGTCCCATTTCCGTTCATCAGGTCCAACAGCGGAACGTTATAACCGCACAAGCCACAACGGCATCTTTTCAGGCTGGTTGTTTTTTTGTGGTGCTTCAAATAGTTTTTTTTATTGCACCGATGCAGATCTTCCTGCAAAGTTCTACTGGAACTGGCATTTATTGCCCGCCGTATTGTGTTGCAGTAGAATCAGGCTCCATTTTTCTTCTCGAGCAACTTAGTGGTAATGGAGATGCAGCCTGATGTTCTTTTTGGAGTAACTGAGACCAATGCGGTAGAACTCTTTTCGAAAAGCAGTTCGTAGTTTTCGATTGGATGATCGCTAACCTACCAAGTCATGTCTGGATAGGATTTGGTTCAGAATGTTCTCATCATATCAGCTACACTTTTTCTTCTTGGTCAATGATATGAAATTCTTTTCAGATTATGGTTGAATCGAAGAACAAGTGCAAAATGGTGGGATTACCGATGTGTCAACCAGGCAACAACTTCTGTTCGTTAGAATATGGTCGCATGAATTTTTAGGACACTCCTATATTCAGCGGCAGCTTCCCTAATTCTGGAAAAACAAGTGACCATGGAAGAATAGCTCCGAAGACAAGAGTCCTGTAACAGCGTTCCCATTTTCATTCCTTTCTCCTAATCCAAATTCACCGACCCTGCATTTGTTTTTGGCCGGCGTTGAGGTCTCCGAGAACAAGTTTGTAATGCACTTCACCACTGTGAATAACTTCTTGCAACTCATACTAGAACGCATCTAATTCGTATTCACCATCTGCGTCGGTCGGCGTGTAGTTATTGATGGTCACTCTGCCACCGCGTTCCCAGGCTTGAGCACAATCATTCGAAGATCGCTCTGTATCGGGAAGAAGACTGCCTTCTTGTAACTATGATTCTTCTAGTATAGCATCACACCCTCTGCATGTGCCAGCTGTTCTTACCATAGTCCAACTGCTTACGAAACATGGCGAACTAATAAGAATACTAGAAATATTTTAGAAGTCGGAACCAAAACATGCGTAAATAAAGTCTGGCTGGATGTCTCACCAATCCACATGGCACGTGACAGTTGCACAAATGACCCCAATTATAGGGACACACTGATCGTCACTCCATATTGGATATTTAAATATTGGGCAGCATATAGATAACTAGTTCATATGTTCCTACTGCGAAACCAACCCAGCAAGAAAATGAGACCAAAACGACGAATTAAGTGGAGGTGGCGACCATGTGATAATCAAACACATGAAGAAAATGAATGGCTCGCCTTGACAGATAACCCCCAATGTAACACACGTATTGTCTTCCACCTATATTCCTCACTATTCGTTATAAAGTAATCTAGTATTCTACACCACTACGTTCCCAATCAGAATGTAGTGCTCTTCCGAAAAATGAGCACATCATCACCACTTAAACAACACATGGCAAATTGGTAAGCAAAAATGCAGGAATAAAAGTGGGTAACCATTTGTTTGCACTTCAAAACAATAAAACTGAGAGACAGAAATGAAAAATGCAACCGATGAGAAAAATCACCTCAGATAACACTGATTAAGGGAAGGTGTACAAGCTTCTTGAGAAGCTGTCCTCTACAGATTCTTTGTGATCCGCCAAATCACAAATTATGAAATTCTATACCATATGAAAATGAGACGTAGTTGCATCTACGATTGGTCAAAAATAGCAGTCTCAAAAAATGTTCAATACTTAGAGATATTCGACGATGAACTAAACAGCAAAATGATCTCAGGGAGAAATATATAGTACTGCTTGTTCATAAGAGCAAGTGATGTAACAAAGAACAAATGTACAGTAGATCAGTGAGATGTGATGCCACGAATGTAAAACTTGACGTACAACATACTTAATTAGTAAAAGCGACGGCAACTAATACAAGCCCTCAAAATGTGAAGAATGATCCTATCCAATGATCTTCAGTGCTTGGCCCCACGACCTTTACCACGACTACGAAGAGCAGCGCGGGCTCGTCCCCTCATTCTGGCGCTCATTCTCTCAATCGAAGCTTCTTGTTGGACGCTGCTAGGGGTAGGATGAGTCAATGAACGTCCGCCAGGTTGATAGATAGTGATCGGACGTCGGCGCCGAGGGAATTGAGTAGATCCGCTCTCGTTGCTAGAAAAAAAAATGAACAAAAAAATGATTGCAGTAGTTAGAAAAAGTGCTCGAGTCAACGGATACTCAGAATTTTTTACGGAGTTCTAGGTTATAGCATAGCACAACATACGTTTTACTGTAAATTAGCACAAAGTCAACTCAAAACATATTAATTTTTCTCACTTGCCATATGAAAAGAACAAAACAGGATATCACATAGCTATCCCATGTCTACATCTAGTGAGTGATTCTAAAACAACCAGTTCTGAGTGAGGCTACGTTGCGTGAATAAAAATGTAAACATAAACCAAAGGTGATTGCGTTTAGAGCAAATTAATACCTTCAAAAAAAGTTGACCAACGGCTACAAAATGAAGAAGAAATGTACAAGCAGTAGATCCGGCGCGCATGTAACGCGTTCTCTGGGTGGATCTCGAGTGGTGGGTTAACTAAGCTTTCCACGCCTTGATGGTCAACAAATTGACACCAGGCCTGTTTTAGAAGATGAAAATACCGTCCTGATGTTCGGTCGACCATGTCAAGTCATTGTATGGGCAATATATACACTCATTCAGTTCTCCGATACTTGACGAAGTCGAATGCATGGCGCATCTTTCAGAGCATGATCAATGGTTCATCCTTTTACAACCACTACATTTATAATTCAAAACCGACTTCTCTTTAACCTCAGTATGACTAGTCAATATGCATTCCTTCTTTGATAAGCTTACACGAGCGTGGTAAACAGATTTACCAGATTTATTTCGACTAACGTTTCGACGGTTTCGTCTTCCACAGAGCAGATGATCCGAGTCGATGGTCCACAGTTGTTCGTGTTCTCGAGGTGGCATCTTCATCGCGCATCGAGCCGAGTTTTCCTCAGTGGAGCATCCTTCTCGAATGAGCCACACTCTCTACGACACCCTTTTATACAGGATGTTTCCTATCGACAGCGGTGACTGTCCAGTGACAACCACTTGTTTTTGCCGGACAATCCATCCTGTAGGTTATCGAAGAAAAAACACGTATTGATTAGTCGTACCGAGGTTAAAGGAAAGTCGGTTTCGAATTATGGTTACGCTTTGTACTATCTGATGATGATACCGAATTCTGGTGGACGGACCGACCGGAAAAAACAAGTGGTTATCACCGAACAATCGTCGCTATCGATAAGAACCGTCCTGTATACAAGAGCATCGCCGGGTGAGTATAGCTCATTCAAGAGAGATGCTCCACTGAGGAAGACCCGGCTCGATGCGAGACCAAGACGCCAGCTCGAGAACACGAACAACTGTGGACCCATCGACTCAGATCACCCGTGCTGAGGAAGACGAAACCGTCTAAACGTTAACCGAGTAAAAGATTATTTATCAACCTCATGAAGCCTTATCAAGCAAAGAATACACTGCATTTATGTTTAAACGTCATGGTTAGCATGACATATGGAATACACAGACGATCAAAAAAAATGTGAATATGTGGATTACGTATCTTAACTCTGCCGCGGATAAACTCATACTTTCCGTATAAATGTATTCATATACATGCATACATATGTGGACGCGCATCCTTATATGTGAACTATACACTCTGTCTATCTGCAAATCGAAAAGTTTGCAATTTAGTGGCCGTGAACCACAAAGGCATAGTTCAGGCTAGTCTGGTACGAACGAGCCCTGTATACGCTATGAGAAGTTCTACAAGTCTATTCGTATAAGTTACTAGAAACGGAACAAAGTCTCCTTCCTCTAACCTCAAAAGAGCGACGCTGAGGCATGACAATGCCAAGATCTTGTACGATCAAAAGTGGAAGTTTTCACTGAGGATCTGATAACATAAGGGAAAAAAGTATGAGACCATCACCAAACGCCAGAAGAAGACATCGTACACATGCACTGTTTACAGCAAAGTAGATACACCTGTTAAAACTTGACAGAGAAATTTATGGATTTCCTGCCCTCTTTGGTAAAACAATGGCCACGGAAACAAATTCCTTTTCCTTACACTGATGGAAAAATAGCTAATTTCAGAAGGCAACTTTGAGGTACCGTACTTTGGACCAATCACAGCTTTACTGACACACAACGCCCTAACCTAAACTAGTTTTTCGACGATTAGCGGTAAATTTCCCACCAACAGAGTGGTTTACGAGTCTAGAGGTTGACAGGATTGAGGGACATAATTTGCTTCGTTGCCTTAGCGGCATATATAACTTTTACAAAAATTCTAAAAGTTAACCTAGCGCCACCTGGTTCAATGTCAATTTGTACTCCTTATATCACTTCCGTCGAACGCTGTTGCTGATAGCGCCGTTAGGGTAAAAAAAAACTGGCTGAGAGGAAGGTAAAACAAGTGCCTTGGTGGTGTAGTGGTAACACGTGAATGAGCCGACGAAAAGGGTAATCGCGGGTTCGAAAATGTCCTGAGTTCCAAGTTCTCCAAATGTCTTAATATCATAGTGGTTCCATTCAAAAGTTATTTGTAGTTAAACTTTGGAGAAAGCTGACAACGAAGTTTAACTTTCTCCAATTTTCAAGACAAGCGCAGTAGTCACAAGCAGTAGCAACACGTTGAGAAGTAGCATTATGTCCTGCAGGACCAAATCCTTTTGTTCAACCGCTTCCACATTTGAACATAAGCCTTAGAGAAGAAAAGCGCAAAAATGTGTTTCGTAGGCTTCAGAATATTAGGCTTTCTTCTTGATATAACAACAAGACCTCTATATTTTAAGCAAAAATTTGCAGATTCTAATAACTATTATTTGAATTAATTCAGCGATGCCGAGATGAGTAAGATACGATGCATTTTCCTCTTACAGTTTATTATTCCACCCAATTTCTCCCTCAGAACTAATCAATCGCTCGATACCTTATCTAATACAGATACTGTGGTGAGCGTCGGCCACAGTGAACTCTATTCAGCACTTAGAAATAAACAAAAAAGCTATTTTAGTTCACCGTCCAGTAACTTTATTGGTAATTGACTGGAATTTAAATTTCAATCGCTATGAAAAATCACGGTTATCGTATGGAATGGGTATGTACAAAAAATCTATAAAAGTTCACAAAAACTGCAAAACACTTCTAAACGTTGACACCAATGTGGATGTATGATGGGAAACAGCAACATCTTGAAGATACTTTTATAACACTGCAATATCTCTAACTCCTAAAATATTATTATCGTCTGCTGCCGAAAAATAGCAAACCCGCAACGACATGGTATTATTTGTCGAACCATTTACCTTACATACAAAGTAGGAGTGGGACGAATGACTTAGTAAAATTAAATATGGGCGCAGATATTTCGGTCTAAAGTTGGAAGATGCCATTCCTTTTTGTATCAAATGCATTTCAATTAATGTCAGTCGTTACGCGCTGATCAAAATAAGAACCATTAAAATATGCACTTTTGCCAACAATACACGTAGTCAGTTTTTTGTCTCAACTCGACCAACTTCTGCAATGTTACTTCACTAAGGTCGAATGATGTCTCGCAAGAAGACCATAGCTTTTTTGGCCGTTTCGCGAAATACACTGTTGTTTTTGCTGGTCCTCATCGAATTCTTGACAATGCTTCCCGTTGTGACGATATCGCCAAGATTAAAGACGTTTTAAATGACTCATCCGTCGATTATGAGACTTTGGAAACTGTATACCTAGTTGCATAAGAAAATTAAAATTGGTTCACTTATCGTCTAACTGTCATTTCAGCTCCACTTTTGATCCTGAGAAGTCAGGTCATGATAAAGTGAATTGTGATTACAGCAAATGAAAGGACCACCTTCAACACAGCTGTAATTAGGAATATAAATGCCGACGAAACAGAAAAAGATACTTCGGCTGAATAACCTGCTAAACGGCGACCGTCTGCACTCAGTGATTAGAATGCATATGTATACAATGCATAAGGTGCCAATGGAATAATGAAACTTAGGTCAATAGCAAGCGCCTAGCAGAACTTAGTCCATTCTAAGAAAATCCAATTCATGGGAAATTCATATTGTGAGAACCGACGTGTATTCATGCGTTAACCGACCAGGAAAGTAATGTATTCTGTAGAAAAAGTAAAGCTCCGAACAACGTTAAACGAAATAAACAGGAGTTACCTGCTAGAACATTGATCTTCTGCACCATAGACAATTGGAATACGTAGTCGTGCTGTCGCTGGCATAGATGCGCTAGCACTTGAACTCGTCATAGAAGATCCATTACCAGTATGACGAATGGACGAAGGAGCTCCCGCCATTGCAGAGCTTCCAGTATCCGTTCGACCTTCGTCGTCAGCTTCTTCAACGGCCGAGGCTGCTTCACGATCTTCGTCATCAATAAAATCCTCAGCAGCTGGGGCGTCCAATGAATTATCTGAAAAGATAACTTCTCAATGATAAGAACATATGAGTGCATAAAATCCATAATTTTTTTCTTCACAAACCGTCTGCCCCTAATACTTCGTCATCTTGACTAACAACAAGACCATCTCCGTCAAGTTCGTCGTCACCGTGGTCATCTTCCATCTCGACTTCGCCGATTTCTTCAGCGTCCTCACCGTCTGATAGTACCTGCAAAAACTTATTCAGGGCCATGTGTTGAAATAGCAAAAGAAAATGCACTCACTACGACGTCAGCAGATTCGCCATTATCGATTTCTTCGTCGGACTCCATACCACCATCATCTACAAGGAACTATAATATTAAACGCCAGCACAAGAATGACAGTAAACTCTCAATATCGAAAAACAGGAAAACAACTGATTCACAGCTACTAAATAATCAGTCGCAGTTTGAATGTTCAACTCTACTAACCATCTTCTTCTTCAAAATCATCCATCGACTGTTCGGACACATCTTCATCAGACAAAAGTTCGATCTACATATCGAAAATAAGCTCAAAAAATAACTCGAAAGCTACTAAGAAATGGAAACAGACGTGTTGGGTGGAATCATCTTGCCCTTCCTCTAGAACCTCAATGTCATCATCTCCTTCTGCGTCGTCAGGAACATCAACACCTTCCATGTCAGCTGCGACAGCCATTCCACGTTCAGGAATCACGTCTAGGAAATGATTGATGCGGAAACACAGAGTGTTAAATTTCTTCCTAATCACAGAGAGCAAATATGAAATTCCATTGCATAGAATACCCGAAGCCACATCATATAAACAATTTTGAACAACGTTCCGAAAACCTAGCCAACTTGTTTCGATTACTGCGACTTACTTATTCCATTACTGAAAAGTTACTGCACAGAAGAAAAAGCAATACTTAAACAACACTATGAAGCAAGAAAGAAAAGGTTACCTAAATCGCGGCGCTCTTCGCTGCTGGTTACGATTTCACTCGGACTATCTCGGTGACGTTTAGATTCGGAGGAGGACTGGATGGCGACAGCTCGTTTGCGCCTGCCATCGGACGAAGATACAGGCATTCCGCTTCCACTATCGCGAGATTCACCGGCAGAATCTAAAAATTGACATTTTGAGTGAGTCTCCTGCAATCGTGTGCGCCTTTGACGGCGAATAAAATTGTGTAATAGATGAACACGACTGGAATCAGGAAAACAAGGTTCCTGTCACGAGTATCCTACGCAAATCTTTCGTGTATTTATAATTCAGAAGACCAAAATCACGAGAAAAAAAAAACGAAATACCGTTATGCCCAGCTCCGTCATCGTCCTCTCGTCCACGAATTTCTCCGCTTCCACTAACCTAAAAGATCATAAGCTTAAGCACTTAAATGAAGAAACAAGAAAAAATGATGAATGCTATATAACTATGAATCAAACCAATCTGCTCATCATGGAAAATGAAGATGCTCAAGAACTAATGTCAGATTCGTAATTTCATTTTTCTTCTACATATTTCAGCATTACTCCTTTCCTAATACTCTACTATTAAATATCATTGCAAAGCCCACTTTACGAACTTTCTCAGCCCCACCTCTCCCCCGCCAAACTAAATTATAAGAGGAATTCGTTTTTGACCAATTTTAAAGGTTTCAATTACAAATGTCAGAACATTTTCGAAAAATCTAATTCTGCGAATTCAAACCAAGATCTACACAGACCAAACTATTCAAGAACTTGCAGAAGAACGGTTCACATATCTCAAATGGCAATTTAAAAAAGATCTGGAAGTCGAGAAAGCACGTTAAATGGATGCCGTTCAAAGTGCCAACACGTTTCACTACCGATGTGGCAGAGGTTGAACAAGTTGGGCTTAGAAACTCTGCCTCATCCACCATAAACGCCAGACCTCTTGTCTATCGTCTACTATTTCTTCAAGGATCTTGGCCATCCTGTACGAGAAATGCTTGGAAACCAAGCAGATGCCGCAACCGCCTTCACCGACTTCGTCATTTCCAAAAGGCCAGAATTTTAACAAAATTCATTTTGCCTCTAACTAGCAAAGTTAGCAACTAGCAACTTGACTAGCAAAGTTTATTACTGGATCAGATATCCCTCATCGAAGATATGAGTTAAAACCTAACATTGCTTCCCGAAGAACCTAATAATAAAATTAAGCCAGTAACATAAAGCGAAACATCACTGAGAATCAAATTTAGAAACAACTTGTTCTATGAAACAGAAAAAACGCACCTGGCTACTCTGTTCCGCTTCAGTGACAACCGATATGCTTCCTTCTGTTGTGCTTTTAGTAGATGTGCTCACCTGCAATAAGATTTCCATATGTGAAAATTAAAACCTCAGAAAAATGCCTCTCAAAATTTAGACGGAAGAAGTACAACTGCTTGTTATAGTGCACACATCGAAGTAGTCAGTTTAATTGTAACTGACACTTGCAGTCACAATAGGTGCAGATTTTCCAAATAACGATTGACCAGGACTGATACGGGCAGCTGACGATGTAGCTAGCGAATACGTTATTGGAGAGGAAGGAACAACCTAGAACCATGAATGTGAAACCATCAACAGAATATCTGCTATCCAATACTCAACGCTCTTCATGACCAATTTATGAGTCTAACGAAGACAACGATAGAAATCATTAGGAAATATACAGTAATCCTAAAAAAAGGTTAAAGCAAGTCTAAAATATATAGATGTACATATAATAGATATAAAGCACCTGAACAGTTTGACCTGAGTCTTGAGGCATATCAGCAACGCAGCTCCCATGCGCTTCATCAGCAGGAGGAGCAGAAGTAGTTTGAGTAGATGAGAATGCCGGTTCCACACTTGATTTGAATAGTTTGGGTACTTGTGAAGCTAATGACGCAGAAGACACTGCTTTTCCTATTGGAGATTGCGTTGCTTCAGAGGATGTATTCTTGAAGCAACAAATAAATAAGAAATGAAAACTTAGCTCTTTCAAAAGCAAACGCCAAACAATTAACCCCTGAAATAGTATCCGCAACCGTGGTAATCGCTGGAGAGTTTTGATAATGGACAGGAGAGTCGAATGCCACTCGCTTTGGAGTAGAGGCAGAATTACCGGTCCATGCCACACTAACGAATAAACCAATTTCACTAGATGCATGAAAGACATATAAATGCTCAAAAAAGAAACCTATCGGGTAAAGATCCAGTTGACATAACAGAAGATGCGGAAAGAGAAACAGATGGACGATGCTGATCGGCAGAATATATCCCGGAAATTTGCGCTTCCAAAGACTAAAAAGCACATTGCTATTAGCCTAGAGTATGTATGAAACAGTACAAAACAAAACAAAATATACGTTGATGTCTAAAAATAAATAGTTTCTAGTTTCTCTCTAAAACAATTTCGCGTTTGAAGTACAACTTGTTATGTACAAGCAGCGATCCTCAGGCCGAATTCTAGATCACATGTAGAACAAACCGACTTACGTGAAAAGACAAAAAGTCAAACTCACTGCAATTCGGGTTAACAAATCACTTTTCTCAGCACTCAGTTGAGTAACACGCGCCTGAGCATTCTCGAAAGATGGCCCCATAGCACTGAGACGGAATTTAACTTCTTCGTACTCAGCAATTTTCGATGTCAAATCGTTGGTTAGTTTCTAAAACAACGACATAATGACTACGCGACAGCACTAAAGCAAGTTTAGGTGATTTCAATCCTCTCTGTTATGCTGAAACCAATATTCAGTTAAACATAATCGATACATACGGCATTCTCGGCTTCCAGGGAATTTAAACGCTCCCTCATTGCACTCATATCTTGTGATGAACTGAAAACACAGTAGGACAACTGGGCAAGAAAATAAAGTATAAAAGTGGAAACAGTCACAAACGTGGCATCTGAAGTAGTGCACGAAGCAGAAACGGATTTGAGACGTGACAATTCGGATTCCAGATTTGCAATTTTCTGTTTATCTTCTGTACTCTGGAAGATGAAAATTGGAATAAGCTGACCAACCAAGACAATTTTCGGAATAAACTGATATTTGCTGCAAATATAACTTGAACGAAAGAAGTATGAATACTCAAGCTGTTTTCACTTCTTCATACAATCAGATTACAAATCCGGTAATTTGAAGAATCGGGTTAAGTTGACGTCACAAGCCCACCTTGAAATGGTCCTATTCTAAAATTAAATGCAAACTTGCCACAGTTTCAATTGATATATTAGTTAAGTACTTAACTAACACTTTAACAATGTTGAGCGCGGTTGACTTTACGCAGCTGTTCACGCGCAGTAAAAGCGAAAGTGGGCAATCATGAGGATTGACCTCATTCTGTTGCCTTCTGTTCGCATATTCCTTTATCTGTCTACAAATGCTGCTGCGTTTCACTGTATTCCTTCTTAACCTAGTTCATCTACCATTAACGTTTTCCCAAGAAACACATATCCCTTTCTACAATCATAAACAAGGAATACCTTCGTTGAATCAAATTCAAATATCCGAATTTCAAGGAGAGAGTAACGTGAGTTCCAATCTGAATATGGGAGTTAAACACCTTATTTCCGTGCTCACTACTTCAACCATTCTCAAATAGATCGCAATATCAGTTTTCGATTATAGAAAAAATCTACTACGTGAATATTTTGATGAAATACGTAATTAAACCATGCAAGAAGAAGAGGATAGCGTAATGGTAGCGGTGCGTCCACCACTAGCACAGTGCTGGTTCGACCACAAGCCTGGCCCAACAAGCCCTTCTTCCCTCCGAGAGGTCAGGAGATTGATACCAGACTTGTCTCGGAACAGTCCGTTCTCTAAAAATTCAAGGAACACTATTCCAGCTATCCCCGGAATACAGGTAGGATCAACGCGACCAGTATTCAAGCACTTTAATAGGGAACCCGACAACAGCGAGAAGCTTGAAGACTTCTATGGATGATGCGACGAAACTAATCGAATCCAATAAGTGATGACATCCGCACGGTAGATATGAAGACATGTCGTGCAAAATAAAAAAGTAGGGAAGACTTTTGTTAAAGCTTTATTTTAATTACTCTAAATGACAGCAATGGGAATAGTCCCATTAGTTCGTTCTTGATCTGTCGGCCGATTGATTAAACGCAGGAACGGCTCCCATCCTGGAAGAATCCTAGTAGCAAGGCAGCACGCTTTTCTCCAAAAGAATTTATAACTAACTGGCCACTGCGGAATTGACACATGCGGAGTACCTCTAAGGACGACGGTTGTAAAGCAACGAAGAACAACAGAGGAAGTGCTACGCTCGCACAAAATATAAGGACGGACTACCTAAGCGTCTAAGTAATTAACCGACAGAAGTAAATCTGAAATAGAAATAGGGTAAATAATTCCCTACAAATTTTACCATGGTCTTTCCCAGAAACTTGGTCATAACTGTCTTAAAAAAGTGCATCTATTCTGATGAAAGGGTATTCAATACGCGACTTTTTCATGATGTCGGAAAAGGAATAGACGCTGGAGCTCTCATCGGCCCGATAATGACCCCTTTCGTGGACATGTATGAGATGATGCAACAGAAGGCCAAAGTCCGAGCATATGCGGATAAGGTAAGGTACTCAACTTTCCGGAAAAAAAAACACGTTTAGTAATAAACAAGGTAATAATTGCTTTGGTTTTCATAGGAATGCAGAAACATCCACGGTTTATTTCAATTTTTTCATATGACATTCTGCTCAATTCGTTTATTTAAGATCGCTCGGGAACGAGAGGAAAGTCCTTTGAGCAGCTCAAAAAGTATCTTTGATATAATTGATCGTTTAAAACAGCCGAGCACGACAACGACTCCTCAGCCGCCTTTAATAGAAAGACTCTTGAGACCGTACATCGAACCGTGGAAGCAACAGTTAGATGACTTCTCAAAAGGCATCACCACCTCCACAATACCAACGCCGTCGACTGCTTCGCCAAGAACGACCACCTTTCGGCCAGAAAATTTTTTTGAATTAGTTCAGAAAAGAATGACAGCAGTTTTCCGAAATAAGAGACAAGTTATTTCGCCAAAACCAGATCCCCTTAATTCAATCACAGGAGTTGATGAGCCTTTCCTGCAGTTAACCAATCCTTTCACACCTAATCCTCTCATGTCTCTGTTTACAACTCTTCAACACTTTCCAGAACTACCACCACTTCAAATCAACAACATACCTAACAAAGACATATTTCTTGTGAAGCCAACCTTGCCAGAGACTCACTTCAAATTACGTGATCCATTTTACAACCCTCTTTTTCCCAATAGGAAAAACAAACTGTTTGACTTGCTGGCGGGCGGTGAAGCAGCTCACAAGCAAAGATAGCAGCCTCGAAATTATTGATCAGAAACAGAAATATTCTGTGAGTTTTAGTACTAATACTCCTATCGGAACAAAATTACTGGCGCAACTGTTGTTCCTCTGGAAATAATAGAAGATTCTTCGCTTAAGAAAAACAAATTTTTCGTGTTTGCCACCAGCATTCTCCACAATTACCTATTATCGATAAATCTGCTAAGATTACAGTACCGAAACTGAGCATAACTCAAAAGACAACAAATTCGTATGAGCCACAACCGTCGAAATAAAAAAGAAAAATACGATAAAGTGAATCAGACTATAACCTTTTCAAGCCTTGCAGAATCAGGAATTCAACAGGGATCATACATTGTTTGCTGTTAACGAAGATGAAAGCTAGCTGATTTACAAACCTCATCTCGGTAACGGCGAGCGAGCTTCCTGGTTGCTTCAAACTTCGTGCAGGTGTCGTTATGTTTCGCAACCAACTCTTTTACACGTGCTCTAAACATGAGGCGCACCTGTTTATTTGTTCATTTACTGGTTCAAACATTCAAAAACGTTGCTGATATTAGTATGATCTACATAATCCACGGAAAAAGCGAATCAAGATGAATTTTCAAATAAAAAAAGTTATGCCTTTTTATTTTCTGCCTACTGTAATTTCGCGGCAGGGTACTAAGCGAAATACAACCACAACGTTGCTGAGATATCTGCAAAATTCTGGACCGCAGGTGTCTATGGTGGGAACGAACGCGCTATTGTCCTTTCCGGGGAGTAGCGCGTTCACCACTACACCATGCGGGTCCTTAACTTAACTGGGCTCTATGCCGATTTGGGCGCCCAAGATCAATCAATCCCGCTGACTGGTGATTGCTGTGGCAAAGATCGATAGAAATAACTGAGAGACAGGCGAAACAAAGGGCCCGCATGGTGTGGTGATGAACGCGTTACTCCCCGGAAAGGAAAAAGAAAGTTTTTAAAAACCACGAAGCTCACTCGGCAGCTAGTTTAAGTTTCTCTGCTTCAACTGCTTGCATATTTGCCTTGGTCAGCTCCGCCTCCACACGTGTAAGTTTCGAGCGACACTGATCTAATTCCGCCCTCAAAAGGATGGTTTTACAATAAGATTCTAAATGTATTAAAACGGTGAGTTCAGGGTAGTGACTAACTTGACTTCTTGATCGCCTTTCAAGGTTGCTTCAGCGACACGCTGTCGAAGCAAGTCGTTTTCCTTCTTTTTTGTAGCTAATTCTGATGACAGCAATGTGATTTTCGACGAAGCATCACTGGCAGCAGCAGTAATTTCCGACACCTTCGTCTCTGCTTCACGTTTCTATAGTATCAGTACTATCGTAGGAATAAAAAATGACATGGCAAACGTCAAGATATGGACGACCATTGACAGGAAAAATGAACTAACAGACCTGTTTTGAAAGCTCGGAAGAAACTTTGTGCAGCTTTTCGTTTTCACATCGATACATGGTGTTTTGCCGTTGGACAGAAGCCATCATTTCAAGTCTTTCCAGCTGAAATATCTTTCATCAGTGCTTTTTAATACGGTATGCCAATCGTAGAATACATACCAGCTGTGCTCTTTCCGCAAGAGCGTCTGCACTGGCGACTACTTCTGACTGTAAATGGCGTACTGTAGCCGCCAGTTCATCACGACCTGCACGGATCTCAGATACTTCTGCTCGTAATCTTTTGACTTCTATCTCTGCTGCCATGCATCTAGCTACAGCCTGTAATGCATAGAAAACGTCAGTTTGTAAGCTCCACTCAGAAGGAAAACATACCGATTGTTTCTCTTCACGAAGGAACTTCACAACACTTTGAAGGGATTCAACAATTGCTAATGAAGAATCTTCATTTCCTGATGAAGTGTCAGGTTCTTTCAGATCCGTTGATCCAGATCCTCGACTGCAAACTTGGGATGCAACCTGAAAATCTTAACAATATTTCAGGGAGTAGTATTCCACTGAAGACAAGATAATACAAAACAGCTCTTTTTAAACTAATCAAAATATAGCAATAAAATGAAACTCGTGTTCCAGAAACACTAGCAGATTTCAAGGCTTTAGGGGATATGGGTAGGACAACGCACACCACAACTAAGTAGATAACCTAGACACTAATCTTCCTGGGCTCCACTTAAATTGGTGGGTAAAGAAATTTCTACCTTCACAAGTGAACCATAGACAAAATCTGTAGAGAACGGAGAGTAAACGAATGTATAAGCATGGTCTACTACTCTACTGGTCTACTACCGTCTCTCTAATCTACTCATGACTCGATTTTTAAACATGTATGAACAAGTAAAAAGCAGCTGCTGGTATAATTTTTGGCCGAAGAACCATTGCTAACAACAAGAACGATTTGCATAGCACTTAACATCCTAGCTGTAGCGCCCTCTGTGCAGCCGTGGGAGAAAGTGGACGAACGATATCGCATCCTATGCAGTCTCACTTCAGTGTTTTGTTTTGTTACACAAATATCTTTCCACTTTGTATTCGATCGATAGCTTGTCCAACACAGACCATCAGACGTGGCCTACAGAAAGCTGTTCTTTTCACATAGTAATTAACCAGAAACCTATTTCTGATAAGTTCATTTGAAACCACAAACCCGACACAATGCCGAAGCAAATTGTTTTCGCCCTCTAATTTTGGGTATTGTAACTGAACGGAGTATGTACCACAAGGACTGTTTCAGATAAGTGGCACAGAAATATCTCTTTGTTAACATTGAAGTTCGACAAATAGGAGTAGTTCTTCGACGTAATAAAAATGAGAAACTATTGAGGAAATATTTCTAAAACCCATTTTGCTCCAACTTTGGGATGGGTAGTCAATATTAACTCAAACAAGCTAAGAGGCTGTAACGAAACTTTTATTCGGCTAACGTTTCGAGGCCTTCGTACTCCTCAGAACCGCGTTGATCCAAGTCAACTGCCCACACTTGGCCGCATCGAATTCAAACGTTCGGTATTAAACACCGCTAGAATGAACTCTTCTCGCACTCGGTGGAGCCCTTTTGTGCAGGACGGTTGCCGAACTATTGCCATCCAATCTCACCTGCTGATGTGTTTCCATGGTGGCATGCAACAAGCTAGGTCGGTATTCTATTAGCTGGCAAAAAGCATTACCTGCTTATGCTCACTGTAGACATTCAAAGAGTTCACCAAACTCAAATGATCAGGCGAAAGAAGAACCGTACGATGGATCCGTCAATAACGCTTGTCTCCATGAACGGCTTTTTTTGGTTGCAGGCTTCAATCTCCAACAGTTTATATGGGCTGGACCATGTCCCGTAAACATTATAATCCGCATTACCTTCCACTTCGACATCATTACACTGCTTCAATTCTAGTCCCTAATGTTGTCAGTGTATGACCTACTTACACTCGCTGTTTTTCTCACTGTTACCTCTGTAGTAAGCCAGCCAAGAGGAAACTTGTTTAACACCTATAGTACAGAAATGCCTTTCTTCAATCAGCAAATCGAACGAGGTTCACCACTACATAGTGAGCCATATCTCCAGTTATAGAGAAACTGCTAACGACGTACACGAGTTCGTGGGTTTCTTCACCGGACCCAGTTTTACCGCTTGCGTAATCGCCATGAAATTACGCGCTATACGACGCCGCACTGAGGAAAATTTGAAAATCGGGCGTTATACGTTAAACGTACATCACTTCCTCTGCACGATGTTCCCTACAGGAACTGAGGAAGGCTCGCTTACTGCAGAAAATGAATATGTCCAAAATTCACATTCCTTACTTGGATACTTGGACGGTCCGCCTTCACGAGCTGTGCGGACCTCAGCACATATGCCATTCGTTCCTTTCTCTCGGAATCGCGGTTCATGGTGGTGGCCATGTCGAGCATGGTAGCGATTGACAGTTTCATACCGTGATATGTAAAACACTTGTAGCTGCGGGTACAGGTGATTAACTTTGTTTACGAACACGTCCGTCCAACGTGTAAGTTGTCGTCCAATGGGACGTTTGAACTCTCTTGGAGTCCACTCTACTGTTCTTTTCGTCCATCTATCGTCTGTTCTTCTCATTATGTGACCGGCCCATCTATGCTTCGCTGTCAATGTATATTCTCCTGGATCTCTAAGGTGTGACAGATTTCGAAGGTCGGAGCTTCGCATTCCGGCTACATATTGAGAGTGCCAGTCATATTTCAGAACACATCGCTCAACAGCTTTGTGAGTAGTTCGAAGCATTCCTGACGTAGCTGAAGTATAAATCCACGTCTCTGCAGCATAACAAAGCGCTGGGAGGACCGTAGAATCAAAGAGATGAGCGCGGATTTTCGGGTCCTTCAGTTGATCGGTGGCTTCTTTGAGAGACTCGAATGCGGCCCAAGCTGCTCTCCTTCTTCTATCTAGTTCCTTCTTCATGTTGTTTTCCATGTTCATTGTTCGCCCAATGTAAACGTACGAATTGGTCTCTGTAATGAGAGAGCCACCCAATTCAACTTTTTCGCCTTCGCACCATGGATTTTTCATGAACTGGGTCTTCTTTCGATTTATGCGAAGTCTGATCTTTTTCCCCGCTTCGTTGAGCTTGTTGATCATTACCTCTGCTTCGCTATCACTTCTTGAGAAGATGATAATGTCGTCGGCAAAACGAAGGTTTGATAGAAATTTTCCATCAATACGTATGGCTTTCTCATCCCAATCGAGTGACTTCATTATACACTGCAGTGCGGCAATGAACAGCTATGGCAATATTACTTCGCCCTGTCGAACCTCTTTTCCTATGTTTTCTATTTTGGCATTGAAGTCTCCAACAACAAATTTATGATATGCTTTACCATTCCGGATGACTTCCTCTAACTGATAGCAGAACGCATTTAATTCGTACTCATCAGCTGCGTCGGTCGGTGAGTAACAGTTGATGATAGTGATGTCCTTATTATGCGACAGTTGAAGACAGAGGACGGTTAGGCGAGCGGAAAGGATCACGTATGAGTCAGTCGACGAGCTGGAAAATGGACGGGTAGACGACAAAGCCTACGAAACCGAGATTTCGTGACGAGACCTTTTCTCTAAGGATCACAAAGGTCCCGCTGTTTGGCGGGCGAATGCTGGTCTTCTTGGTTTTTGTTTCTTGTAATGCGAAAGAAGGGTGTGAAGATCGGTGTCTGTGGAGACAGTTCTGGCATTATACGTGCATAGTAAGAAACAATCTCCATGGCGTGTCGTGCGTGTGTTCTTCTGATCTGGTTCCAATGACGTCCTGCGCAACCCGATACCGCCTGACGTCATAGACGGGAGCACCCTGTGTGCGGGGTAGTGAACTTGGCCTACTGCTTGGTCGTGCAACTTGGTCCTCCCTGGAGTCCTGACGTAACCTTGCAAGGGCGTATCCAGGTCTTTACCACGATGTGGATCAGATGGAGGTGTGTTTTCCGCGACGAATCCTTCGCTCGGTCTACCTACTGGTTGATTCGGAAAGATGTTTAAAACCTCAAACTCGGGTAATTAAACCAAAAACCAACCAAAAAGGTTTACATTACGGCCTATAAAGTTGACTTCATTTATTTAAACATTGCCCTAAATTTCGTATGCTGTCCTACAAATTCATAGGATCGGTTTCTGAGTTATGTCTCTATTGATATAGTCCAAAAATAACCCATAAAGATTTCTTATGTTTTCCTACCCCACAATTATCAGCAAAAATCCTAATCCCCAATGATGTCACCAGAATGGTTCCCACAACAGTGGAGTAGACAGTAAGGACTTTGCAAGGACTTATGCCATAATTTTTGGTTCCAAAGGTGTTGGCTTTTCTGTTCTAGCAACTATTAATTTTGTAAACTTTGTAACTTTATTTACAAATTTTGTAACTTTTTATAATTATTGTTATTTTATAATTAGAATGTAATATTATGATATATATATAATATTATAATCATAATGTAATATTATAATACTATAACATATAACATAACATTATAATACAAATTACGACTATAATTATTTTAAAACAAATAATGAAGACATTAACTATAAATTTGTACGATTAAACTTGTAAAAAATGAGAATAAGCTTACATTTTCGTATTTCTCCAACATATGATCCAGTTTTTCTTCGTAATTCTTGATACTTTCATTGTACTTGTTTTCTATAGCTGCCATTTCATCAGCGCGACTTGCCAGAAGCTTCTCAGTTTCACGAAGGCTTTCTTCAGCCTATAAAGCGCAGATGACGATAATATATGCAAAATATAAAACGAAAACACTGTTGAATTCCATAAGACTTACGACTCTAACGCCTTCACGGGTACTGAAAATTTCCTTTTCCTTCGAATCCAACTTCGCGTTTTTTAAAGCAATTTCTTCTTCTTTCTCCACAATCAAAGACTTTAATTCGTCCAACTGATTAGTTAGCTAAAATACCGATTCTTATTATTCAAAGAAAAAAAACCCTTGTAAAATTTCTGGGAAACCATATTCACAGGGTAAACGTAATGCTATGTAAGATAATATGACTAAGAAATGCATCAATGGAAATGATCCACTGTTTACTTACCTCATTTCGCTCCGAAATACCTTTCTCGACATCAGATCGTGCTGCGCTCAATAATTCATTAAGGTTTACCACAGAACTGTCAGCGTCCTTAACTTGGGCTTCCAAAATATCTATCTTGAGCTGTAGCTCCGATGACATCTACAAATACTGGCTCTTTTCAATCAGTATGTATTATGGACAGATGACAGCAAACATCCTACGATTCCAACTTTCCAGGCAAAAAGCATCAAATAACAGCAAGATTAGTAACCTTCAAATGGTCCAACTTCATGTCGGAAATCTCAGATTCCAGTTGATTGATCGTTGTGGATAACTCCGCTACTTTCTTCGTAAGCTCTGCAGCTCGCCTTAAAAAAATATTTTGATGACGTCAAACCGTTTAACGTTTTTATAACTGCTGACAGTTCGGCGCTATTAGCTCTAGCTTCAAGACGCTCCCTTTCCATAGATCCCATTTCAGCCATATGCTTTAGACTAGACTCCATCACTTTGCTATGTGATTCCATCCTAAAAATTACGCTAGCAATAGAGCACCATATATATTGACGCCAAAAATTATTTAGGATTAAAAAAAAATCACCGATCATTCTCATCGCTCTTTTTTATGGCGACACATTCTGCTTCGGCAAGCTTAGACTTTAACTCATCGAGCTGACATTCGAGATATTGGGAGCGATTTTTCAGTTGTTGACACTCCTTCTGTAGACGTTCTGGCGTCATTCCTGAATTACAAATAAAGGGAAAACTAACAGAAATTTAAAAAACAATTTTTCTTCGGACGAGTCCAACTTATGAAATGAACAATCATGTGGTCAGATGTATAAGGAACTAGGTAAGTTGGTGTTCAACCCGATCTCAAAATACGCTCCTGCGAAAATCCAGCCGAAAGCATCTACCTAAAGTACTCTCTTGGGCAGTATACTGAGCCTGCATGCTACTTAGTCGTGTTCGGAGTTCAATAAGTTGACGTTCGCTTAACGTTAGTTCCTTTTCTTTCTCTCCAAGCTGCTGACGAACAAGTGAAATTTCCTGTTCGTAGCGTATCTGAATAGCAAAATTACTCAATAAAGGCACCCTTGCTTCTGAATGGCAAATTCGCTTATTAATAATGAACTAGCTGTGACGAGAATATGCAGACCTGAGTCTGCTTCGCCTCGTTCCTTGAGTGAGACAATTGATCAGTGAGACGAGCATTTGAGATTTTTAAACTGTCGCGTTCCAAGCGTACAACCTTAACGAATGCGGACCCTATGCAGATTTACTCAATTCAGACAGATTTCTATAAGAAAAACATAAAAACATACATCTATTTGTGAACCAAGTTGAGCCATTTTTTCAGATTCAATTCTAGAAAGTCGAGCTGTCATTTCGTTAAGAGATAACATCTGGAATATATGACAAACTCGATAACAAATTTCAGAAGATGTGAGTGAACTCGATACCAACCATTTGTTGCTCACTGAATGACGTCCTTCTGAACGCCTCAACTTCCGACTCCAATCTTTTAATCGTTAAACAGGCATGCTCTAGCTCTTCCTTGGCAGCTCGACATTCTACTCTGAATTTTCTACATATCATATGCTAACACCTCCCATGACTACTGTAATCTACATACGATTCCTGATGCTCCATTCGCGCAAAAAGGAATGAACATCCCCGAATATTCTAATAAGGTATATTATGATTGTAAAGTAAAAAAACTACATGGTGAACGAGTTAAACCCTGTAATGAGTAGAGGCAACGATGGGACTAAGAACATGCAATGGTATCAATAATACAGTGAATAGTGCAAAGAAAACCCAGCTTGACGCATAATGATTGACTATGCGATTTTTTCTTTAATATAGTACACATCGTATACCATTTTGAAAAAGCAGGACGAAAAAAGCAGTTGCGTTACTAATCGCGCCACTGAAATGTGGTGCTAAGAGTAGCCTGTATGGCATAAATGAAAGAACCCTGAAGTTCCGTCGACCAACATCGACAATCAAATTGAAAAACTCGGAAACCCAGTGGAAGAAACAAATGATGGCTTTTAACAATAATCGGTCAATAGCAGCTGTTAACGACAGTGTTCTGTGAGACATTACGTGCACAAAGGAAAGACGACAGAACCGAGAAAGACAGACTCAGATTTCACGAAAAATCAAGAAGAAAAACATGAACTTCTTTAATGTTCAACGACAATAAACCACGGGAATCTTTTGGAACAAGACCAATGAAGGCTTTGCTAACGCTTGCTTGAGTGACTCGACCATTAAGAGCAGAAGAACAAAGCAATTCATTCTTGGAACTAACTTATAACTGCTGGCCCTTCTTTGCAATTCCATAAGTTCATTCTGTAACTGATCCATTTTCGCAGCTATCTGAGTTTCACTGGATCTCAACCGATCATTTTCTTCACGAATCTGATCTTGTTCTTTTCGAGCATGATCTAGTTCCTGAAACGATTTTCTACACATGCGAAGAAAGAGATCGACAACCAACTTTTTCCAGAACCGCCGTAGTTTGTTTCTGCATTTCAAATGACGCTTCCAAGCGAGCATTTGTCATTTTGACCTCCGATATAATCTCCTCGCTACGAGCAACACGATCGGAATGAATTCTGGAAGTCAAAGAGAAAAATTAAAGCAAAATATAGGCGGAGCACTGCCTAACAAACATGAAATACCTTTCGCTAATTTCCTTCTCCTCTTTAAGCGCTCGAATATACTCTTCCAAACGGGCCACTTTCACGTCACTAGCTAGAGCCTAAAGTCGTACAATTTGAACTTCGCAGATTATTGCTTATTGAGAAATTTGAATAAACTATTCTATTCAATATGGAGCCGATCAAGAAAGAAGCTTATATTCCAGTTTACGTTTTAAATTCTAGTGTGAACACAGCGACAATTTAGTCCTGAAACAAGCAGCAAGACAATCATACCTTTGCAACAGCTTCTTCTGCTTTTATTTTAGCACTTCTTGCTTCAACGACACTGACATTGTCGTCAGCGAGCTTCTTCAACTGTTCCGTTTGAGATTGAAGCTGTAACTCAGCGTCTACTTTTCTTATTTGAAAAAGTGACCAGACAAAATCCAAAAGGACATACTAGTTCAAATGTTGTACGCATCTGTTCTAATTCTCCTTTCAAGCTATTCTCCGTCTTTCGAGAACTTTCGAGTTCTCGTTTCAAACACTCTATCCTGAAGTCATATTTTAGTGCTAAGCGCAGACTCAACAGGCTACTCCATAAATAAAAGAAGGAAACCAAACTCAGCATTTTTCGATGTCAGAACGACCTGCTCTGCAGATGTTTTGGCCACTTCTAATTCAGATTCCAGCTGTCGATTTATCCTAAAAATAAGAACATTAAACCACTTCGATAACAAGTGAAAAACTTACCATTGTGCATTAGCATAAGAACTACAACTACGTCCATTGGTTCGAAAGATGACGTAAAAAAGTAACGAGGATTTGCTTACTTTTGCAACTGAGCTATGCTGTTGAACAGACGTGCATTTTCTTCATCGTTTTCGACGATGTCACCTTCTCCATTTAGTCGCTCTCTCTCCAATACAAAGAGCAAGTGTTGCACCTAAACCAATGATTAAGGGGGAAAATCTTCGTTTTTTTTTCAAAAAAAAAAAAAACTACTCTAGATACCTGCTTAGAAGCTTTGGCATAGTCTCTCTGATACTTTTCAAGTTCAGCACGTGTAAATGATAGTTCTCGAGATGTGGCATCTCGTACACTTTCTAGACGGCACCGAGCCTCATCAGCTTCCTATAAACCTTACCAATTTCTATATGTAGTGTTACCCGAATGGTTGCCAGCATTTTCGCCTGTTTCAATGAATCCCAATGAAATGACTGAAAAACAAATGAAAAAACAAGCACCTTCAATTGCTCCTGTAGTCTATTATTATCGTCGAAAGTTTTATCCAACAAATCCTTCTGCTGAAAAAGTTGCGGTGCGCGGTCTGCAATTTTTAAATGGTTAAGAGTAAAAATTTTGTCACGTTTTCCACTCTAAAACATAAATGGGGCCATTGTAGCGCAGTGGTTAGAACTCGTCAGAAATCCGCAATGGATCAGTCGCTAATTAGATCTCGCCACATGAGCTCACGAAGTCTTCCATTCCTTCAGGCTCGGAAAATTCTTACCAGACCTGTTCGGGAGAATGCGTCAGTAGACCAAAACGAGTCATTGTAAAGGCCAGATGTGCATTCAATCACCTCCAGCGACGCTTGTGAAAGGCAAATGCATGGCGCATTCCACAGGGCTTGATCAATGGTGAGATCCCTTTCCTTTACCTTTTATTAACACTTAAACATACTATCCATGAAGTATCATTGTACAACATAACATACCTCTGTTTCAAATAAATACAAGAATCTAATAAGGAAATATACATAACAACAAACAAAAAGGAACAAAGGACAAAAATAGATAGTGAAACTACCTTCAATTTCTTCCACCATTTCTCGAAGACTCATTTCTAACTGCCTGTTTCTCTCACGGCACTCAGCTAATTCACCTGAGAGTCGAGCATGTTCTCTGAAATTTTCTAGGTTCTGTACTGAAAGAAATTATATGAAATCATCAGGCAGGTCTGTGAAATTTAGAGAGATACTAACCTAACAATGCTTGTAAGTGATTGCCCTCCTCGTAGAAGACGAGCAGTTTCAACCGCCGCTGGAGAGAGTATAGACAATTCTTCCTCACTAACGTTTAGATTAACTAAAAACAATTAATAAACAAATAATGTCTATCTCACTAAAATAAAGTTATAAAGTCAGGTAGGCGCAAATTATAGCATTGCACCTCTCCAACTCCGCCCTATAAAGAAAAACAAGCAATCCTACCAGCATGCTTCGATTTCAGAAGCTCATTCGCTTTCGAAAGCTCCTCTCGCAGTTCATTAATTTGTTCATCTAAATAGGACGAAAATCTAATTAGCAGAACATGTGTAGATATACCAAAAACTACACCGACCTTTCACAGCAATCTCGGCGTTTCGCATTCGCTTCTCTTCCTCAATTTCTTCCTGGACTTCAGTCAGCACCCGTTTGGTCTCTTCGAACAGATTCTCACGAGCTTTCCACTGTTCACTGTTAAAATTATTTTTATACGAAATTTTTGGGCCATTGCGCAAGAGTATTGGGAACCAGAATTAGCTAAATTTTTTAAAAAATGCAAGCTAGAAATAAAAGCTTAAAGCTTTTGGTGAAAAATATGAAGATAAACCTAATCTCGGCTGCAACGTGCTCCGCCTTTTCCAATGATTCCTTGTACATACCAGACAGCTCTCGCTCCTTTCGTAACTCAGCTTCAAGGTCAGCAATAGAAGAATTATGTTCAGCAGACAGCTAAATGAACATGCGTCCCACAGGCATGCACAAAAAAATATTAGGCCTCGAATAGCACACCTCAGTTATCCGAGCAAGTGTGTCATCGACTTGCTTTTTCCGTAACTGCAGCTGACCTTCATGCTCTTCAGCTGCTAGTTGGAGTCGAGCGACTTCATCTTTCAGAATAAGTTTCTCTCTGTGCCACGATAGCATATTTGAACTCTGCAAAAAATGGCCTGAACGACTTCACCAAGTGCAATAAAAAAACTTCAGTAATGACTACAATACAGTTCCAAAACTAACCAATTCGATTCGCAGCTCAGCCAGTTTATTGTCCCTCTGAGCTATCTCCTCTAAGAACCATTTACGTGAATTGGTATACATCTCGCTTTCGGTACGTGCTTTCTCTCGTTCCGACTAAAAATGCAACTTCTATTTACTCCTTGCCGTAACAAAACAGCAGCATATACAGTGGAGTAAGTGTGTTTACCGTCAATGTGCGCATCTCCTGATCCCTGTTGTTTTTCTCTTGCGTTAACAACGCTTTTTCTCTAAGGATCTTCTGCAGTTCATCTTTCAAGGCGAAATTTTCAGCTAAACGAGAATAGATTTCCAGAAAAGAGTCCAAACTATGTTGCCAAATTCGCTATTTTATAGTGTGCAGCCTCCAAGCAATGGCTCCTATGTGATAGTCAGCAAGACAAGCATAAACAATAAGGACCCTGATGTAAGAAAAAGTGATATTCAATTTTCTATTCACTGTGTACCAATTATTTTTTCACGGCAAGGTGTTATGTGAAATACAACCACAATGATGCTGTGATATTTGCAAAACTAAGAATCCAAGGCCCACTCCGAACCCGCGATTACCCTCTCCGGGTGTTCATGTGTTACCCACTGCTCCAGAGACACCTTTGTCTTGTTTTTCTCTCAGTCCGTTTTACCAGTTATAAGGTGGTAGTGTTCCAACCAGTTAAAAAGTGATATTATTGAAACAAAAAACAGAAAACGATGAGAATGCATAGGACTAAATGATGGTCAACCACATCTAAAATTTCAAGCCAACACGGAATCCTGCACACACAGTTCGCCAATTTTGTGACCAATACAATGATTAAGATCCTAGTAGATTAACGAAGTATTCGTGAATGCTATCGTGCGCCAGACGAAAGTTTCGTTTACATAAAGAACAATCAGAATTTGCTTGTTGTGGAAGAGAAGAAAAATAATATTGTTTGCAATGATTGTTAGATTCTAGATTCTTACATGGATTAGTAAAGTTCACTAATAGCTCAGAGTTTGGAAGGGCTATATTTCGGGTTGCACATGACTCGAAAGCAACCATATAAACGACTTACACTCTCAACTAACCACTCAGACCAATCAAAGCCAAATGTGAGTGTTAAAGAACCCGGCGAAAACCTGTATTTTAACATCGACGAAACTGTCAACTTTTGAAGTGATAAACACTCAACTAGATGAACTCCTAGCAGGATTGTGAGGAACATAGAACTTTAATCTCACAAGGAGCACCACATCATAGAAATAACAGGATTTCTCGACTCTCCACTATGTCGGAAGTATAATCAATTAAAACACTCACTAGCAATGAGTTGTTTCTCCCTAGTTAAGGTTCGAATCGCAGCGTCTCTTTCTTCTTTTTCATTCCTCAACTTCTCCACTGCACTATTCAGATCCATCTAAATACCAATAGAAATAACCAAAGGGAATATTCAGTAGAAAGAACTGCAAAGGCAGACCTTTTGAACAGCAAGCTCGTTCCGGGAAGACTCGAGCTGTCGATACATACGCGACCTTTCATTTGCTTCATCGACTAAAACTTAATTTGTGATGATATAAGAGAAGACGATCAATCAAAACTCACTGCTGCTCGCCACTTGCGATCTTAATTCATTGTTCACAGAAGACAACTCCCTGAATTTCTTTTTCACATCGAGCAACTCTTCTTCAATATTGCATTTTGCATGACCTGAGAGACTAGTACGTTAGTGACGCAAGATATAATTGAAACGATAGAGGAAGAAAACTGACGGAGAGCAACCACTTCACTGAGGAGATTTTCTATATCTGACGGCTGCTCATTACTCCGGCCAGTATTCGATAAGATTCGTTCCTGAGAAATTTGCTCGAAGACAGCTACATCAGTGCCGCTGGATCCTACACATAGCCTCTCATGTCTGTAGAACACCCGGTAGAACGGAAGTGATAGTAAACTCACCGCTGCCACACCCACTGGTATCGGAAACATTCCCTACAGTAGCTTTTTCAGGAAGTACAGGTGTTGTAACGACAGGTTTTACGTCAGTCGCCATGCTATCAGCATCAACAACCTCGTTTAAGAGATGGCTTGGATCCATACTAAAGCATGAAAAGAAAAAACTAAAGAAGTTCTAAGCTTTGAGACGGCCAGAAAAGCGTTGTGTCAAGTGAAAAAGGGTGTACGCCGAAATGATACGGTATCTTAGAACCCACTTCTACTGCCTAAAAAAATAGTTGGTAATAAAAGTAACAGCAGTCATCTAAAAGGCTAGGGTTTGCTGGAATGGCAAGGAGGCAATATCTGCGAGTGCTTTAGCGTGCTAAGGTATTAGGTTAGAATTAAGAGGAATATCTCCACCTGTTATGTAAGATAATTGGCTCAGTCGTTCGCACTTAAACATACACTTTACTGGCGATCTTCCTGAAAGGAAAGGACCAAGATGTACTGAACAAATGGACCGCTCATGAGAGCAATGTCTTAGAGAAGATAATATTGACACCACAGACTAAATCGTTACCATATTACCAACGACTGAATAAGGAGTTTGCATTTCAAAACCAACTTTCCTTTAACGGCGGTACGACTAATCAATATTTATTCTTTCCTTGATAACCTAGAAACGAACCATATCATATTAGAAACGGATCATTGGCTCTAAAGAACCCGAAGACGTCGAAACGTTACCCGGGGAAAGATTATATATCGAACTCGTGTACGTTTATCAAAGAAAGAATATATAAGTAATTTGCTTCAATCTCTGCTTACTTGGAATACCAGTGTCGTTGTGAATCGACTTAACAGTGTGTCATTTGTACTTTAAAGATAACTTGGAAAGTGACTTACACAGAGATATTTGAAGCTCGGACCTATTTTGAAAATGAACGGATACCTACTGGATCTTTGAAAATGGACGGATACCTACTGGATCATATCTACATCACAACCAACTACCTCGAGCACTGCCTGGACGACACTGCTCTTTGCGGTAACAAGAATAACCGTGCCAAACGGAAAGCACGGTTCCCACAGAGCTCACCAAAAAACTGGTCTCAGCCTTGCAAATACAGACAAACTCTTACACATTCCGACAGAGGAACTTCGGTATCACTGCGGGACTAACGCAAATAAAAAACTGCTCGCGCTCACTTTGGCCGTGGAGCGCGATTGATGCATATTTATCGTTCGGGCGCAACTTTAAAACGATGTCAACAACACAATTGATCAGCTTTGCAACAACAATTCAAAAGGAGTACGTTGTTGGATTCAAGAGGTTAAGCTGAAGCAGAGAATCCGAAAAATGCGAGGCTTTATTTATGGTCGATTGTGTTCAGTTAGTTAAGGGTTACTTCTGTTCCTATTATTAATAAAATATGGCTAAAACACATGGGAAATCCTGGAATTACAACCACAAGAATACTGAGAACTCGGAAACAGTGGATTTAGGACTCACGGTTGCTCTCACAGGGGCTCTCGCGCTATCCACCACTCCAACCGAAGCCCTAGCTTCACATTCCTCTCAGCCAATTTTTTCCTGCTTGTCATCAGCTACCATCCGTCAATGGAAATGTTCAATGAAGCAAAATCGGCACTCGACCCAGCTTAGCTGAAGCTGCAGTCGAAATCACAGTGTCTTAACTATTATTTACTGTCTGTTCTTTTAGGCTTAGGGAGTAAATAAAACTTGAAACGCTGTCTTGGAATTGTTAATTTATGTGTTAAGTTCTTAAAAATGAGGCTATGCTATTAAGCAAACTGTACCGAGATTAGAAGCCCTTGAAGGGCAGATATAAACGAACTATTATGGGCATGAAATATTCTAAATACTCCGTCCATTCCCGGCTACATCGAACTAAATTGATGCTAATAAGAATGAACCAGAGATCTCCCTCATATGAGGGATCTCGAGCCGGTCAGCCGCCAGGCTACGTGGCGCGTCCCCAGGTGGCGGAGAGAGGTTAATCGCGGAACAAAAGCGACCTTCCCTTTCCCATTCCCTGAGACGCAGGTGGATCCAGAGGATAGACCCCTGTTTCTGCCGCGCTGACTTGGCACATACTTTCTGTATTTGCTAGGCGTATTCATGCATGCCTGTGTGGGTGCGTTCTTGCTTATGAGGATTGTATTCTACAAGTCAATTCGGCGAAAAGCCTACAATCAAGTGACTGGGAAGTATTTAGGAGGCGGTTAAGAGTCGCCTCCAACAGGTAAGCCTCATGTACGCTCTGGGAGAGCCTTGAAACCTACCCATGAGTATACCCAGCCCCCACGTTCAGAGCCCGACAGGCTATACGTGGGTATCAAAAATGCTAAGCACAGTAAAAAAAAAACGGGCCTCATTCCCCTGACCCTCAAAGAGCTCCCAATTTCGCAGTGTGGGGTAGGACGAGTACGGAGAGGGTGCTAAAATCTGAAGGCCAATGGAAACTGCCTGGATTTCAAAGAACTATGGTGACGATCTGTGCCTACAATGCACGTACACTTGCATCCAAGTCCTCGATAAAAGACTTGCTTATGCAAGCAAGAAGGATAAAGCACGACGTCATCAGCCTGGGCGAGACGAAAAGACGCCAGCTTTCAACGCCGTCTACGACACCGGAGAAGAACTGTTCCTCGGGACATGCGACAGTAGAGGAGTTGGCGGTGTCGGCATTCTAGTCAACACGAGTTTGTCCATGAACATCGATTCATTCGAACAGCTTACAACCCGAATCGGACGTTTACGATTAAGAACATGTGGATCCATACCGGCTCTGACAACCTTCGTCGTTTACACGACGACATCAAACTATGACGAAGAAAAAGTCGAAGCGTTTTGTATGGACTTGGAGAGGTTCTACAGAGAAGACGAAACATTCTTCACGGTCATCATTCGAGATTTCAACGCCAAGATTGGAGCAAGAAGAACGTCTGAAGAACGTCACACCCACGGATTAGAATGGAACGAACAGGGTGAGCGGCTATCTGGGTTTATCATGGCGACCAAGAGAATCCATGGTAACTCGCAATTGCAGCAGCGCCACCCTCAGCGCTGGACGTGGCAGTGTACCAATGGAGAGAACCGTAACGAAATAGACCACATCATAGTGAATAGAAGGTTTCACCTGACCGATGTCGCTGTTGTCCCAAAATTTTACACGGGATCAGACCATCGTCTCCTTTGTGCAAGATCCTATTTCTCGCGGAAAGGAGAAAAAGCGGCTAAATTCCAAAACCGAAGTCCCAGAACCACCGCAAACTGGAAATTATTCAATTCATTAATCGGCTGCTGGGAAGATGCCGTTAACGATAACATCGATGAAGAATACGATCGGCTCATTCAAAACCTTCACGCTAGCGCTATGAAAGCTGAGAGTTCGAAAGCCACCAAAAGAGGATTTATCTCCAGAAACACTCGGGCTGATACGCTAGCGTGGAATCGCACAAGCTGCAGGCAACCGTGAACTAACGTTCGAACTTGCAAAGCAGTGCAGACAGGCGATAAAAGATCTTAAAGAGAGAAGAACAGCAGTAATGGTCGAAGCTACAAAGGCTGGGAAAAGCATTCGCAAAGCCCACCGATGCTTCATTCAATTGCGAGACCATGATGACTGCACTCCGACGTCTAGACGGAACAGTTACAGAGTCCACAAAGGAAATGGAGAAAACTGTTCACGAATATTGCTCAGATCTCTTCGATAGCCACGTCCACCTTCCGTCATATGAAATAAAGGAGGATGGATATGTTGTACCACCGGTTCTCCCAAAATCCGACATGTCATCTCGTCGGTGAAAAACCGAACAACACCAGGTCCGGAAGGAAAGGATTGACGGCATTTCTCCTGATATGGGAAAACGCCGTTGGCACTGATAGCCTGCACTCGCCCGACCTGGTGAAGTCGATCTCTCAGCAAACTGTTAAGGTTTCCCTTCTCGAGTAATTTGGAGTTTAATAACCAAATCTCAACAACACACAACTTCGGGAACCTGCGTTTTCGATCTGGACAGTGGAATGTATTCAGATGAGAGCTATGTGGTCATGTGAAGAAGACAATGAATGAGTGACCGAGATGAACGAGATAAGTCTAGCCGCTAGAAAAACAGAATGTTGAGAACGTGTATCACCACAAAGTAGCATTGAACTGGGCAGTGAGACTGTCTTCACCTAGGTTTGGAAATCTAGCTAGAGTTATTTATTGAATAACTAGTTCAAACCTGAGGGCAATTCAGACGAGTTGTAGCAGACGAGTTGTCGCGGACGAGATACCCTCGCGGAAGAGTCGCCACGGAGCTGCTCGAGTTTCGCCCTAGGGCGTGGAGTGCGGGATTGGTCACTGTCCACCATTCGGTACCATTTCCCACCATCCACCGTTCGATACCCATCCCTTTTACAGTGACCAGTCACGTCTACACCGTCATCCATCCACTTACTAGTGACCCATGAGGTCCATGTGCTAAACAGTGCTCTTTATCACGATGTTATGGCTCTAAATGTCTTTTTATTGACCTCCTGTTGCTCAGTAAATGTATGATTAACCAGCACAATATTTTATTCGCTTCAACCGTGCTCTCCTTGCAGATGGTACTTCTGCGAAAAACCCTGCAGCTTGCTGCATGCGCTTCCGGTTGTGCCATAGCCGCCAAGCTCCGTGACGAAGATCGTTACTGGCGTGTTCATGCATTCGTGGCTGAGCGAAGGACCTTCGACGACCACTTTCCTCGCGGACATTGGGATGACAACTGGGATTTGTACGTTTCAGCTGATTTCTTCTCTCTGTTGAGTTAGTACGGAGCATTGAGACGTGTGACTCCTCATAACTGAGCCTTTCATATCCGTGGTTTTAATAATCATTAAAGTGCTGAGTTGTGGTGTTCAACTGGTACAAACTCTCTCATATGTCGTAATTAAGTAATTGGGAACTCACAGTAGTAATCTTTTTTATTCACTGTATACTACAATTTTTATGGCGTCAATCTCATTTGCGGGTGATTGCTGTGCACTGGTAGGTAGAAAACTAACTGGAGGACAGGTGAACCGAAGGACGTGCACGATGTCGTGATGAACGCGTTAGTTCCCGAAAAGGGTAATAGCGTGTTCGATCCCCACCATCGCAGACACCTGCTGTCCGGAGTTTTGCAATAGCCTAAGGATCATTGTGGTTAACTGGGAGCTCTTTCTTACGATTTACTCTATTGAATGGAATTCATCTTTCAAACGAAAACGCTAACCCATGCTAAAACACAAGTAATGTGGTAATTTAACCTGGCCAGACAAGTTCCTACTTGCTTTCAAGATTTTCCTCTTGTTTTGCAGCCGATCTCCGGAGTATCTATTAAACAGCAAGAGATATTCTGAGGCTTCTGATCAGGAAAGGAAGAAAATGGAAGAGGAGACGAAGACGAAAGCTACGAGGAATATCATCTTAATTCGACACGGGCAGTACTTTATGGATTCGGAACGTAAAAATCTCACTCCATTGGGTGAGTTCCGAAATCCACCTTTGAACATTCTTCACAGAATCTACCTTTAGAGGCGACAGATGAGGTATTGAATTTCAGTGAAAATAAGGGATTCAGTAGATTTTGAACCGATGAGTGTTTAGGTAAAGAGCAAGCTGCACTTCTCGGAAAGCGTTTGGCAGATTCTGGGATGAAATTCGACCATCTTGTGATGTCCACAATGACCCGAGCTACAGAAACTGCGGAGATTATTCTGGAGTACTTGCCGTCATTGAAAAGGTTATTGTTCAACATTTCTCCAGTTTTAGTAGGAGTTCTTCGTATTTTTGTTGAGCAAACGCGAGGCGTTATCATTCTTTATTCACGAATAAGTTGACGTTTCGGCGGATTTCGCCTTCCTCAGAGCCTGGAAAGGTCAAGTTGATAGCAATCTATTCCGCCAGACACCTCCATAACCAAACAAAGGAACTCTAGACCAAGATTTCAATCACATTGAACACGGCTTTGCACACTCACCGCTTTCTATGAGGTTTCCACTAAGAATGTCGCGTGAAGACCAACCACACAGAAATCACATGGAAGCATAATGTGCCCTTCCCATCAGATAACAGTTTTATACACTGCCCTATATCACGCGTGATAATGAGGCATTCATCCCTGCGGTTCATTTTCGGATTGCTGGAATTAATCCAGAATGCCTCGAGAGTTTTGCGCGCTTGTGTTCTTGATTCGTGTGCGAGGATCGTGACACATACTTCAAAGTCCTACCCGTTATGTCTCTGGGTCCTATGCGTGCCTAGCGGGGTATTTGGTCTATGCCGGCTAGGTGTCCTTTTATGCGGACGCAGAGGGGTCAGCCCGTTTCGCCAGTGTATTCGTCTCCACACATCTTACAGGAGATCAGATAAACTATACCCGAGCTCGTGCAGTCACCGTCTCTACCACTGGGGCAAATTATGCAATTTTGAGTTGCACATAGACGGTCATATAGGCGGTTACGAACTAGCTGGCGCCTCAGTGTACTCGGTGGCATTTCAACTACGTTTACCGAATTCTCTAGACCTGCCCTTCTTAAGCAGCGTTTTATAGCTGTACTTACATCATTTGAGGTGAAGGGTAGGGTAAACGAGACCCTTCCATCGCTAGAGTTGTCGTTTTTTTAAAATTTTTCCTAGGATTTCCTTTACACCTATCCTGAGCTACAGTTTCGTAGCCATTAGAAATGACTTTTTGTCGCGCCAAGTTCCGGGATTCCTCTCTCTTTCTTCCCGTGCACACGTTGGTTGCTGTTCGGAACATATTTCTTATAAGCGCCCTTTTCGTGTGAGAGGGGTGAGAGGAGAGGTAATGAACCAAGATTTTTTTACTACTTGGCTTTCGGTACCACTTTGTAATGTATCCATTTTCTGATAGGTGAATTTGGACGTTCAGGAATGGAAGCCATTTTTCTTTCGGTTTCTCTCCGGTGAACTTGATATACTATATACTCTGACTGTGCATTTAACAACTCGAAACATTTGTCCATTTCCTCTTGTGTTGAGCAAAGGACAAAACAGTCGTCTACATATCTACAGTAGAGTAGCGGACCGAGATCAGTCACCGGTGCTTCCACCTTAGACATAAATGCAAGGCTTAGAGCCAGTCGTTGTCCCATTGCCAACCCTTTTATTTGAGCGTAGTACTTTCCGGACCATCTTAAGATTGAGCAGCTCAAGCATTCTTTTAAGAGTGCCATCAACTACTCTATCTTGAATCCACACATGTTTATTTCTCCTTCGTGTTGTGTAAGGAGTTCGAATATGGCTTGCATTGCGGAGTCACTCGACACGCTTGTATAAAGGCGGTAACGTCGAAGGACTCGATCACGTACGCGCTGCTGGGCTGCGCAGTACGTAGACGTTCCAGAAATATCTGGGTATTCTTAAGATGGGGTGGAATGTATTTCAGCAGCTGGTTAAATGTTAGGGTTAAAAACCATGTTATCCTATCCGTTGGCCCGTCTACGCAGCTAGTGATAGGTCTATCTTTAAACAATGATGGATCGGTAGACTCAAGATCATCGCTGGATACTAACTGATGAGTTTTATAAGCAGGTACAAGACGGGACATGTTGGTAAATCAATTTTTAGTTGAGAGATAGCTGATGGTTTTAAACCAGCAGCCCTTGCCATTTTGGCCCATTCGTGCTTCAATTTTCGGTATTTACTTTTTAACTCCTCAGATGTTGGGCGACAAAGTGAAGCATCTTCAAGATGCTTTTGCGTTATCTCAACATCTAATTGATGGGGAATTACGACAAACTCTCCACCCTTATCACTAACGGATAATCTTATGGTTTTCAACCTTATCAGCTCTCGTACCTTTACCATACCAGGTTTTTGCACTAGAGTGAGGTTTGAGCTGTATCTTTTCGCGCGATAGTGATTAAGGACTTTGAGACTTTCATTCGTAAACACCGAAAATTAACATCAACTTCATTATTGGGCTCTTGTTGTCTAAGGAACGGCGGAGGAAATGGTGCTATTGGTAGAGCCCCCACTTGGTGTTGTTCGCACCTATTTAGCGCATCATCTCTAGCTTTTTTTTAAGTAGGAGTGTTTCACATGTTTTTATAATATGAAGAATAAAAGCTAGAGCTTCCGGCGTTGATCAATCTGAGGGATGCACCATGCATTGGACTTCATCAAGCATCGTTAGAGGTGATTGAATGCAGTTCTGTCTATACAATGATTTGCGGGGGCCAGCAGCGTATTAAGTTAGTGCTGCTATCCTACCAGGCAAGTTTGGTACTATCTCGCTGATCCTGAAAGGATGGAAGGCTTTTCGAGACCGGGAGGCGGAATCGAACTAGTGGCTACTTGTGTATTGCAGTGCACCTCTAAGAACTGCTCCATACGCACTTGTTTCTGTAATAATACTTGTTCTGATACTGACTTCTTAATTTAAATATTCTTTTTTTAGATCATCATGTTCCTTAATCGAGGAAGGTCCACCCTATCCGCCTGTTCCGCCCGTTGATCACTGGAAACCTCAATACTCCGTGAGTTTTAAAACAATGGGTTAGTTTTATGTAGTAGTTTATGCCCCGTTGATGACTTGAAACCCCATTAGATGTTATTGTACGTTGTGTTCTGATGAGTGCTTGAGGAGTTCTTCGCCGAGGGATCCAGGATCGAGTCCGCGTTTCGTCGACATATCCACCGAGCTCCACCGACGCAGAAAGATGATTCTTATGAAATAATAGTCTGTCACGCCAATGTGATAAGGTATTTCGTATGCAGGTGCGTTTTCGCTTTAGTTATCATAGACGTAAACATGATGCTTCTCTTATGTCATACAAGCTCCACAACTTTTTCGATTCCATTACTTGAACTAGAACCGTGATCAGTAGAGGTGGCTGTGTTCGTGTATAGGTTCGCCAACATCGTTGCGGTTTGACAACTGCATTCACTGACCTAGCTGAGTGTGATTTGGAGTCCTAAGGTAGTAAGTAGCCCTAGGGCGGCCCACCTTTTCAGCAATGGTACTCATCGGTCCGTGTGAATCGGACAGGGCTTTCCTGCCTTGCGACTAACATTCCTTCAGGAAAGGAATTTGAAGAATTTTGAAAGATATTACATATGTCGACCAACAATCGTTGACGGGAAATAAGCCAATTCGGCTTTCTTGGGCATTCAAAACACACTGTAATTTGTAATTTCTACGGTCTAAAAAGTGTTTTGTTAAAACATAAGTTTCTTGGTTGATTTAGGTATTATCGGCGCTTAGGTTTTCGAGAGTTAGAAAGTGCTTACTAGAAAATTTAAAGCACTTGAAATGACGAGAGTTACCTTTCCTCAGTACGATCGATGTTCTTTATTGATTGCAGAGCACTGCAGTTTCCACCCGAAGGGTGGCTACGAATGTCTCTGGGTAACTGCAGCATGTCATGGCTTGTAATCCGGCCATCTGGTCGTGTTAGTTTACGAAGCCTTGGCGATATTGGTCATCTTCCGCCTTCAAAAGTTTCGTTTACATAGGCTTCTAGTGATAGTGTCTGGCCGCAGTGTTATTTTGGTCACAACTGATGGGTAATCACAATGTCATTGTGATGTATGCAGTTGTTTTTGGGTGTTGTATTGCCGTAATTATCATGCTTTAAGTATTCTTGGTTTTTCTGAAAACCGATAACATAAAGTAGGCCATAATTCCACGTTATTACGAGTTCTGCTACGTTTAGTCCTTCTGAAGATCATTGCTGCTGTTGCTTCAAAACTCATATCTTAATGCCATTTTTCTTTCATAGTACTAACACATCAAATAAGATCTAAAGATATTGTCTGTTATGATTATTATATTGCCAGAGCTATGTGGAAATATTATGTCAGAGTTACGATGAAATCCCATTGGACTTGTTAATGAGCAAAGAGGTAACTAGGACCCGTACTAAATAAGTATTCTAGGCTCTACCTCGTCTTTTCCTCAATAAAACAACTTACATGAGCAAAAGATTAAAATAAATATTTATGTGAATAAGACGAAATGGTTTGCATTGTTTCTTAATACATCGATGACAGTGTGAGTCATACATGGTTCATGCACGTATAAAGGATAAGAGGATAAAGCTCTCGGCATTAACCAATATTCCTTGAAGGATGCGCTATGCGTTCGACTTCATTTGGTATCGTTGGAGCTGATCGAATGCAAATCTGGTCTTTACAATGACTCGCGCTCGCGGTGGCTTGCCGATGTATCGAGCCAGTGCTGATATATTCTCAGACAAATCTGGTAGCAATTTGCCTACTCCGGAGGGATGGAAGGCTTGGTGAGCCTGGGGCGTGGGAGCGGTCTCATGTGTATTGTAGAGCACCTTCGACCACTGCGCTACACGCGAGCCTCATGTGCGTGTATGTTGTACACATAAGCAGATACATAGGTATATGGTTCACATCATTTAATTTCATTGTGGTATATATTTTTAATGTCTGTAGTGCAGCGACTAGAGGTGCTGTGCTAGAGACATAGTTGTTGGGGTCGGCCTTCAGCTCTAGAGTGACCAAGCGAGCCACCGCTTAAGAATACCCATTTCATACATGGGTATGCAGCTGCAGCCACTATGGAATCCACGTTTACATTCACTCACTGCTGCTGTGCTTAGTGGAGCAGAATGCATAGCGCACCAATAAGTGGTAGATTGACAATGAACGGTACATCTTGTTGTATGTGTTTTTATCAAACAGATTAAGAACTGCTACATTGAACAGTCATGATCATGTGCTGTGAAAACTAGATATTCCATCCAGATAGAGATTTTGAGTCTAGTTCGACGAGATTATAGAAAGCCTAGTAAGATTTTCCTTCAGAAATGGAGTGTTTGTAAATCATAGAATAATGAACAAGTGAAGGAATACATATAAAGCCAGCGATCTGGCCTGCGACACCACAGAAAGAAAACCAAGACAATTCAGTTTCATGAAGATAGGAAAAAAGATGTCAAACGCGTAAATGTTCACATATATATATATATAT